TCTTACATCGATGCCAACAAACTCCCCTTCGTCCTCTACTCCGTCGGCCCTTTTGCCTTCGAACCCACTTGCCCTCGCTAGAAACACTTTCTCTCTATCCAAACGCTGTCGTCTCGTTTCGGCCTTCTCTCTGTGGCTTGCCTTGTTCTCACTTGTTTAAATAAGTTACATTTTAGGTTTTTCTTATTTCAAATCACTTCTTATGAACTTATTGTCTTCTGATTTCGGTTTTTTTCGCTGCACTGCATTTATATTTTACTCTTTTAATTTGGAGCATGTTTCTCAATCCTGGTGTGAAAATCAAATTAGAGTTTTAAATATTTAAAGAATTAAGTACAATTTGTAAGATAGTTGTATTTTGTCTCTTTATCATTAGCTTTTCAAAAAATAAAAACATTATCAGATTTAATGACTTACAGATAAATTTAAAACGTCATTTGCTAACATTTTCATCATTATCTTTTTCTTTACTTCTCTATTCTCGTTTGAGCCACCTTCGACATTCTTGATTTAAAAATTGAGCAAAAAAACAAAGAGATAAATGTGTATGACAATAAAATAAAATACAAATAATTAACAAAAATCCATCTTCAAAAACGGATCGCGGCTATATAAGAAATAAGAACCAATCAACGTAAAGTGGCGGAGTTGATTTACGAAAGGGTAAAAAGGGAAAAGTGGACTCTGCGTAACAGTTGTGGGCCAACCAATCAATAAAAAAGGTGCTTCCATGCAAAAAAAGATAAATTATATTTTATTTCTTTAATAATTGGGTCTCTGCTTTCTCAGACCTCCAATAATGTTGCTGACCACTACCACTCAACTTTGCTTTCTGTTTCTCTCACGCGCCTCTCCCTCATCTGCTATCACGCCCCTAAATCTTCATCGTTATTTTTTATTTATAAATTAATCTTAAATCTCAATTTTCATCATGGTGTGGGCCGCTCTACATGGCCCATTTAACCAACCCTCCCACCACCCATATAGTACATTTTAGTCTATATGCATTTAAAAGGTGAAATGTTGAATATTTGTTTTGCAAAATATAATTAACACAAATTTTATACGCAACGAAACCTCTTATAAATGCAAAATTATGAAATTTGTTGAGTATAATGTTGAGCTGGAATTATAATTGAAAAAAATGAGATAGAAAAAAAAATTGAAATAACCAAAATACTCATATTTTTAAAGTACAAAATCTAAAAGGTACAAAAAGGTAAAACTACATGGACAATAATGAATTTAAACTGAAAATACATTGGCCAAAATATTATTTAAACTTAAAATAAATGTGTTTATTTCGAATATATAAAGTAACAATATGGTTTTTCTAGCCAAGTTTAGATGAATAGACTATATATCTAGGAACATTTTCAGAGTAAAAAGTTCAAATCTACCCCTGTTAAATTAAAAAAAAGTCAAGTTATATCATGAATTAAAAATTTGAATTATAAGTAATAAGATAAGATTCAAATCTAAATTAACCAATTTAATTATGTTCTAACACTATTGAATTTTTCTTCTTAACTATATTTATACAAGTCACAGTCATAAATTTCCTGGCAAAAAAAGAAGACGACATTTCCATTAAAACGCAGCTTAAAAAACCTTCCCGTTAAAAATTGTTGACCTCATTTATTTAGAGATGACAGTGACATTATAAATTAAATATTCATCGAGACATTCCAACTTCGTGCAATAACTATTTTTCCATCTTCTAAAAAATAATAGTATTAAAAATAAATATAAAATAAATAATTATCCAAAGAAACCCAAGTATCTAAGTTTGATAATCCGAAGGCTTCAACAAATGAATTTGAAAAATATTCAACCAATAAATTTCTTTTTTTTTTTTTTACATATTCAACCAATAATTTAAATCTTGGCTATTGATGTATTTTAAAATGAAAATTATATGCGTAAATAAC